CAGGAGGAGCCCTCACTGACCAGCCGGTGAGCTCAGAGCTCATTGTGCATGTGCAACACAGCTAAGTATTTGGGAGGATGGGGGGGCTGTACCCCCCCCCCGCCCTATTCCATACTGAGAAGATTTTACTGTCTTGATTAGTTTGATCAGCACTTGAAACTGTAGGATTGTTTCTGTGATCTCCACATTAGCTATTAATTTTATTAGGAAATTAGTATACTGAGATTGAGACTTGTTTTCTGATGTCTGTGCCAGTAGGTTGCTATTGTAAAATGAATAAATAATGAAATATTAACTCTTAAACAGCCAGTGTTTGAAGGCAATGGGAAAGGCTTGAAGGACATATCCCATCCTAAGTAAGCTACAGTAATTATCTTCAGCTTTAAAAAATGAGAAGCAAGCATTGAAGGCTTTAATTGTATCAATATTTTGAATGTCTAATAACTATTTCCTCAGATAATGACACACCCTTTATTTTCAGGGAACCCAAATAGAACTATCTATTGGAGTTGTCCTAGGAATTTCGACTATGGCAGGTAAGTAATATAATTGCAATAAATGTAGTCCTCACTGGCAAAAATCCATTCAGTTCAAGCTGAAAATAAACCTAATGGCATTTGAAACACCTTCTCCTTGCTGCCAAACTGCATTTCATTCTGCAGGGACAACTGGTCATTAAAGAAAGTCAACATTTCCTCTGGAGTAATGGAATTTTAGCTAAGAGATCATGTCAAGAATAACTGTATAAAAACATAGCTTTGGCATCCCTTACAAAATGCTGGCAGTTCTGTAAGTAAAATTACCCATAGACTACTGTGGAGCTGATGCTTTGCAAACTCTTAGGCACCTGCAATTTCAAATAAAGTCAACAGGAGAAAAGGTAGTCATTACCTTGCCAAACAGGGGAAAAGCTCTATAGCTCTTCAGTCTTTCTAAAATATTGTCCTCTTCATTTACTAATAATAGCAACATCTCTTTTCCTCCAGCTGTGAAGAAGGCATGGGCTCAGTGACTGGTGCCTCCTGGGTCTGGGGGGGCACCTGGGGCCCCCCCCATGACTGATTGCCAAGCTGAGAGAGGGGATTCCCCGCACACTCTGCAGCGGACC